ACTCTGTTGTGGTCAAGCTAGACAAGAAGCTTGGCCTTGGTGATCTGTCGTGTAAAGTTTGCGGTCAAAAGTTCCAAACTGGCATCAATTGTAAGTCGCACACTGCTCGGCTAGATCATCGGCCCACGCCTAACATCATATCTTTCTAGACCTCTCCGCTCCCGTGGATGTTTATTCAGATTGGGTGGATGCATGCGACGCAGTTGCTAAAGATACTGCCAACCAGCACGAAGCACCCAGCGCCACACCGGGGCATCGCGGGGCTAGCAAAGAGGAAATTCCAGAAGATATAGGACATGGCGATGCTTATGCTGATGATGATTACTGATCGTGTGATGAGGCGAACGGCGCAAAAGGAACGGTACTACCAACAATCGATTTTATGAGCTCCTTGTATGACAAATAATTCGATCCCATTTTTCTGGTTGTATGTGCTCATACATTCCCTTTCTCAAGGATATCTCCGCACCTATACAGACCTACGTTACAATCCAGTCTGATCCGGGGACTCGTATGGGGGGCTCAATGTCGAGGTGGTCTGTAACAACGCCTGTGGAAAATGACCTGACCAATATGTCTGAATGACTCCGTCCTGGCCACGGATTATAATTGCCATGGAGAAATGACACACCTTACAGCGTATAATATCTGTCGCCAAAATCACCTAATCCAGGGATGATGTACCTACCAACCAATCAGCATGAAAATCACAAACGTTCTCTAGGTTGAGGTTCTTACTTTTTCTCATCCAGCCCTTGATCGACAAAAGCGGTGACGACCCGAAGCTTGGGGAACCTTTCTGCAAACTCAGCAACGCCAGATGGACTGGCAATCAGATTCAGAAAGAGGATCCGGTGCTCTGGAACTCCTCTTTCCTTCAGTGTCTCCACGGCAAGAGTGGCAGAACCACCTGGGATCAGATCAGCCGGGTGGTCAGGGACATTGGATCCAAAGGGCCAACTCACCAGTTGCAAACATTGGGTCTAGGAGAAGGACCCATCGCTCAGCAATGTCAGCAGGCAGCTTATCGTAGAAGAGCTTAGGCATGCATGTCTCCTCGTCACGCTGAATAAGAATCTTTCCGATACGAACAGACCGGCAGCAGTCCCGTAGTCCTTGTTCCATAGCCTCACCTGCCCTCATGATGGACACTCCACAGATCTTTCCTTCGAACTTGACACCAAGGTAAGCTCTTCCAACGGGGGTGGTGACAGACTGCTCAACAACGGGAAGGTGGTTGAGTCCCTCTTCCACTAGTAATCGAATGATGCGATTAGAGTAAAAGATGAAATCGGCGCGAGCTGTCCTCTTGTCACGAATCATCCTGTTTGGTACATATGAGTCTAGAGTGGCCTCCAGCTGCGGAAAATGGGTTCGCCTCACGTTAACAAAGCAATCAACTGGGGAGTTTGAGGTAGCACGTGGACATTCTCATAGGAGACATCCTTTGAGACAGTTGCAGTAGGCTTTTCACCATCAGGGCGGTACATAGGACCAACACCCTGCGCAGGAGATGGAGCCGATTCTGGTTTGCTAGCCATTGTGCAGGTTGTAGAGTTCAGGGATTTGGAAAAATATGGATAAAGAGACTGAGATCCCGAGAGACGTAGATATCAGTTCAAGTGACACCAGAAAAATGGCAGAGAAAAGGAAAAGAGAGAGGAAAGTCGAGGAGAGCGGGGAACTCGGGATTTCTCTCTTATCTTTTATATCGCTGGGAAGCTATGCCGCAGTGGGTGATTCTGCCTCATCTCCTCCGCCTCTTATCACCTGCATTCTCCGCTTCCTCTCCAACTTCCAACTTATCTCACATTTCAGGTTGTTAAGCTGCTTGTTCTCCTTTGAATACCACACCACGGCTCCCTTTGAGCTTGCACCAGCTCCGTTTCACACTGCAAGGACATGGCTTCTCAGGAAACGCCTACATGTCCTTTGGCCCATTAGCTCGACTTGCTTGTCGTCCCTTGGGGTCTACTAAATACCGAATTGGGCCCAGTTTGATTGACGCGACAACCCTTGGTCTAACACCTGCACTTTGAAGCGCCAGTATCCTCTAGCTTTTCTACACCCAGAGCCGAGATGGAGAACTCACGCCCCCGGAATCGACGGCCCATAACCTATGGGACCACTGCTAGAAGTCAATCTCGCCCGGATATTGCCAAATCTGCGCTGTCCTCTCCCGCCAAAAGAACTTCGAAAGAAGCACCCTTGCCAAGTCCTTCGCGTGCCTCGCGATCGATGAACACCAAGTTGCAGCACAAGAAGAATGGAAACAAGCAACCAGCTGGATCCACCAATGAAACAAAAACGGGCGCTCTTCCACGACCACAGCCTGACCAAGAACCCAATGTGTATGACTTTCCCTCCTCAGATGAAGGGCAGAGCTCCATCAGCCGGCGAAAGCGAAGGCGTTACAATATCGAAGACAAAAAAGTCCCGGCACCCCTGCAACTTACAACATCCAAATTTACCACTGATGTAGAATCAAAAATGGTAGGAATTGGAGGTGGTAATGTGTCAAACCCGGTGGTGAACGATGTGCGAGATCGCCGGAGGCCAATGACCAAATATCACGAGACTCATTCTAAGAGCTCGATCATGCAACAAACGAATGAGATCTCTACTTCCGGCAAAACAGGGTCTGGGAGAATCTTTTCATCAGAGAGAGATTTTGAACCCACTGAGGCTCCCAAACCACGCAAACCCTTGCCGAGTACTCACCAGGGCTCATATACCCCCACCGAGAACGTAACTCCTGGCCGAAGAAGGCTTATTGACTCCCTGGGAATAACGGATTCTCCAGCTGAAACATCACGAAAGAGTTCTGCTGAGAGTCAGCCAACCCCCAATCGGACTTCTCACAATGCGCATGTGGACGATGTGCCTGTAAATGAGAGCCAACCTGAGAGTCAAACTCAAGGTTCCCCTGCCCCTGTACCGTCCCATCTAAGAGGGTCCCAGGTCACCTATGCACGTCAGCGGTCCTTCCTTGATGATCTCTCTATGACAGATGAACTTCCCATCGCAAACATTTCTTCTGAATCGGAGCAACCTTCTAAGTCAGTCCAGCGCCAGCTGAAATATGATGCTCCCCCGATCGCTCGTTTGATCGTGGCTGACGAGGAAACCACTGAAGATGGATCTGTCCGAAGTATCCATGAACTCAGACAGGCAGGTGGAAATGCCCGGTACCGAGGTGCTGTCGAGTCCATATTTGAAGATATTGAAGATCCTCAAAACTCGTTGTCTAGTCGATGCAATGCTTTTGTCCAACTTTGTGGCAAACTCCTGGATACTAGAGCGCGACACCGATTTGTCGAGTGCAATTTTGACAAAAGACTCGTGGATTGTCTTTCAATTGAACTTCGGGTTATCCCTGCTATTTTGGCCTTCTGTGCTTACGCACTGGCATCATCGGATGGAAATTTGTCATATGTGCTTGCTACTGCTGCGTGGCCCAAGCTTTTGGACACATCATACATTCTGTTGGACGTCCAGGATGATATATCAGTGGCGACCAAGGCTCAAGCTAGCGGTCTATCTCGACCTCTGCAGAAGACAATCCAAAATATTGTCCCACAGGTGTCTTCGGTGCTATTTCCCAAGCCTGCATTACCGAAACTTTCTCCATGCATTCTGGCATTGTACTGTATGAAGTCGACCATCTCGACCCTACAAACCAAAGGCGAGAGCCCTGGTCTTTCCACGCCTCTTCTAAAATTATTGGTTGAGATGCTATTATCCGAAAGTTCGCGCTGTGTCACCCAGAAAACCATATCACCAGGGAGTTCTCAAATGCTAGCACTGGGCTTCTCAATTCTGGAAGCGTCGACTGCATCGGCCGAGTTCAAAGATGGACATCAGGATTTGCTTGGTCCACTTTCCGGGCTCCACAGCCTGCTCTACCTCAAGAGCTCATATGCCGACCCCGTCAGCCAAAAAATCAAACCTCTCTATATCCGGGTGATCCTCAATGTCACTAACAGCGACCTTCTACTCTGCGATCAATTTGCGAATCCGGAGTTGGTGGGAGGATTAGTCGATATGGTCCTGGCAAACTTTGGTGACCTGACCGAAGATGCACTTGGCCAGGAAAACAACTCTCTGGACAGTGTGATATTAGCCCTAGGTGCTCTCACTAACTTGTCTGAACGAAGTGAAGAGTCAAGGGCAATTTTCCTTGGGCCCGCTGGCTCCACGAATTCTTTCCTTGACCGGCTCCTACGTCTATTCATGACCAATGTCGATTCCATCTCCACGGTAAGCTTTTCAGTCGCGTTTGCGTGCTGCTCTAGGCTAACTCCAATTTACCTAGGCTAATTCGGTCTTGGAGGTACATCATAATGTTGCTGTGGGATATTTGGCAGTCCTTCTTCTGACACTCTGCCTGGACAACGGCGCTCGGTTGCAGATCAAGAACTCGCTTGTTCCAAACGGGCTGGCAGCAGTGACCTCCACCGTCGATGAATTCTTACAATATCACCAAAAGATTGAAGAGGAAGTCTACCAATTCCCGAAAAAAGGACAACCAGCGAGTGGATTCCTATCCAGGCTACAGGGACTCGTGGCTCAGGTTCGACAGGTGGAGTTATGATGGATGCACTGTACCGGTCAGACGGCGCATCTGTGCGCACTTGGCCCAATACTAACTATATTCATTCCGGTCTGATGGCGTTGAGTCGATGGTCTGCTGGAATTCCTTGATACCCCTGTTTTGCCCAACATCTGTGATTGGAATGAATCATTTGTTCTAGGGAATCTCACGTTTAATTTGGAATATTAATCAATTGATATCCAAAAAAAAGGATCACTTTCGATCACCTATATCATATATAGTAACAAAACCCAGGTTAGCGCCCTCTAAAAAAGAGAAAGGTTTCCAAACGATACTCTAGGCATTGTATAGTAGGAGTTGGAGAAACGACTGTTTGCACTGTTTGCAGGGCTCCAGGAGTTGGAGCTCCGCATGCATCGAGGGGGATTTGCCACCTCCCAACATTCACTTTTCACAAGTGCCATTGTGTTTGAATTGCTGTGGATTCAACTTTAGGATACTGCTTTTTACCCGTTACGCTTTCACGGATCTCCTCTTAATTCTCATTGCTCTGCACCATGCCTGCCGCACCGAAGCAGAGAAAGATCGCCATTGTTGGCAGTCGCTCCGTGGGTATGAGCTCCTTAGTCACAATGCAGTTGTATGTTTTCTAAGCGAATCTGACATTCATACCGTATCTTGCAGGTAAATCCTCACTCACGGTCCGCTTTGTCGAGCATCACTTCGTCGAAAGCTATTACCCTACCATTGAGAACACCTTCAGCCGAATTATCAAACACAACGGCCAAGACTATGCGACTGAGATTGTTGATACTGCGGGACAGGTAGATGACTTTTGTGCGAGGTTATTGCCAAACTGTGACTGAGTACTTTACAGGATGAATACAGCATCTTGAACTCGAAACATTTCATTGGAATCCATGGATATATTATTGTCTATTCAGTCACATCCCGCCAGTCCTTTGAGATGGTGCGAGTAATTCGAGACAAGATTTTGAACCACTTGGTAAGCCACCATTTTTCTGGTTTATACCAACTTATACTAAAGATTACTTTTCTAGGGAGCGGATGAAGTACCTCTTGTTGTTGTAGGCAACAAGAGTGATCTTAAGCCCGAACAGCGCCAGGTCTCTCTTGATGAGGGTCGCCAATTAGCAGAGGAGGTCAACTGTGCATTCACCGAGGCCAGTGCTTTCCTTGATTTCAATGTGACAAAGGCCTTTGATCTTATGATCGGAGAGGTTGAGAAGACCTCAAATCCCTCACAACCCACTGGAGGAAACAAATGTATCTTGATGTGATACTGAAGATTCCTGTGTTGTCCGGAGATGGTCAGTGAAGCAGCTTGAAAGCAATTTGAGTTACTTTTCTCCATGATTCGTGGCATTATTTTACTGTGCCTGGTTGCAATTCAACTCTTTACCCATGTTCTTATTGGCTGATTGCTTGATGCAGGATTTGTGCTATTGATTTTGGTGACTTTGTGGCTCTGTTTGAGCCCCTTGTTTTGGCTGTCTTCCTCTTTTTTGTCTATGTTTCTGGAATGGTGGATTTTTGGGGGATTTGCATGAATAATGAGCTCAAGGCCTAGGGAACTCGGATCGGTACCATGCATAGAGTAATGAACTAAATACTGGCAATATCAAGCCCGCAGACTGTAATCATTAACATTCGTTCACTGGAAATAGAGACTTTGACAGCCACGTCGATTAAGTAATCCACGCCTCTCAGCCCACGAGTGCGTGTCTCCACGCACTGGGGATTTTCCTCTTTCCCCCCTCCACACATTTGAGTCACCCCTCAATCATCAACTCAACACCAATCGTCAACATGCTAGACCTTTCCGACTTTGTCACCGAACGCGGTGGTGATATCAAGAAGATCAAGGAGAGCCAGCAAAAACGTTTTGCTCCGGAGGAAACTGTTGATGAAGTGATTGCGCTCTACGAAGAAGCTCGCCGGGGTATGGCTATCATTATTCTTCCCGTGATCCTTGCTGACATATTATAGCGCGTTACGAGGTAACACAGATCGGATCTCAGCTCAATGCGCTCCAAAAGGAAATTGGAATGAAGAAGAAGGTTATTATGCGCCAACCTCGGGTTCACGACTTGAGTGCTCACACAAAGCCAATTAGAACAAGGAAGACGCAAGCGAACTGTTCGGACAAAAGGCAGAGTTGGAGAAGTGCAAGAAGCAGGCAGAGGAAGCTGCAGTTGACAAGGAAGTGCAACGGGACCGAAAGATCCGCACTATTGGAAACTATGTTCATGAATCAGTGCCCGTGAGCAACGATGAGGTATGGTTTTAGCTTGGACTTATGGTGTTTGATGCGCTTGCATAGCTGACCAGCGACCCTTCGGCCATAGGAAGATAACCAGGTCATTAGAACATGGGCTCCAGAGAATGCCCAAATGGACAGGCCAGGTTGCCTCTCTCACCACGAAGTTCTCACTCGTCTTGATGGATATGACCCAGAACGTGGTGTAAAGATTGTTGGCCACCGTGGGTACTGCCTGACTGGCTACGGTCTTTTCCTCAATCTGGCTCTGATCAACTACGGCCTGGAGTTCCTCTTCAACAAAGGCTACAAGCCCAACCAACCCCCACAGTTCATGCTTCGGGATCTCATGGCGAAGACTGCGCAACTGGAGCAATTCGACGAGGAGCTGTACAAGGTCACTGAGAGTGAGGACAAATCCACCGACAAGTACCTCATTGCCACTTCTGAACAGCCATTGTCTGCCCTGCACGATAGCGAGTGGTTGCAAGACAAGGACCTTCCTATCAAGTAAGACACCATATTTTCTTGTGGTTGTTGCATCGCTAAAGGAGAACACAGATATGCCGGTTACAGCACATGCTACCGCAAAGAGGCAGGATCTCACGGCAAGGACGCTTGGGGTATCTTCCGTGTCCACCAGTTTGAAAAGGTAAGCTAAATTCTTCTAAGTATCCCTCTTAAATAGTTGTATATTCATACCAAGGTTAGATCGAGCAGTTTGTTCTCACGAAGCCCGAGGATTCGTGGCAAGCCTTTGAGGACATGATGAGCACCTCCGAGGAATTCTACCAGTCCTTGGGACTGCCATACAACATTGTTGCCATTGTCTCTGGTGCCTTGAACAATGCAGCTGCCAAAAAGTACGACCTGGAGGCCTGGTTCCCCTTCCAGAAAGAGTACAAGGAGCTAGTCTCTTGCTCCAACTGTACTGACTACCAGTCCCGAGCCTTGGAGATCCGTTACGGTACCAAGAAGGCCACTGATTTGAAGAAGACTTATGTTCATGCGCTGAATGCCACCCTGTGTGCAACCGAGAGAACCCTCTGCTGTGTGTTGGAGAACTACCAAAGAGAAGATGTAAGTGCTGTTCCCATCTGGCAACGATGATAACTAACTGAGAGCCTAGGGCATTGTGGTTCCAGAGCCTCTCCGGAAGTACATTCCTGGTGCCCCGGAATTCCTCCCTTATACTAGAGATCTTCCCAAGGACAGCACTTCCACAAAGACCAAGAGCAAGTCCAAGGCTACCGATGATGCCACCAAAAAGATGCAAGGCCTCCAGGTCTAGAGCGACTCACGTGATTGGCATACTGCTTGAAAGGGCGATCGATACCTGATTGGCTGAAAATTAGAAAAGGAAAAAAAAAAAAAAAGAAAAGAAAGATTGCCCCGCGAACATACCCCTCCATGATGTTAAAAGAGACGCATAGTACTATACATACACTACCTGAGATACTTAGGTCCATATTGAAATAGTCTCTAAGTCATCTCCATGATCTCTACGATCTCTAGGATCTCCCCCTATTTTAATTTATATGGTTCCCGAATCTTCAATCCCGATTTGCAACGGGATTTCCAATAGGGTTCCGATTCCGGAGGCTTACTTAATTTCTAATTAAGAGTCATAAGGTGATTCACCTCTTCCCTCCATTCCCAAGTCGTTTCTCCCTTCACATTTCTCCCACCCCCCATTATGACTTCCGCAAGAGATATTCGTCCTCGTCAGGACGACTTTGCCCAGCAACACCTTTCGGCTTCGCCCAATGCCTCTTTCCATTCCCCATCCAGCCATGGCTCTGCGCTGGGCCGTACCGTCCCTCTGGTCAATGCAAAGCACCTGAAGCCATTCGCGACGCAAGACATCAAGGTCTTGCTTCTGGAGAATGTGAACCAGACCGGCCGCGAGATCCTGTCCCAGCAGGGTTACCAGGTGGAATACCTCAAGTCTTCCCTCCCGGAGGACCAACTCATTGAGAAGATCCGGTGCGTCATCTGCGGATTGACAATCGAATGTGGTGGCTAATTGGTGGTTCTGCAGGGATGTGCATGTCATTGGTATTCGCTCGAAGACGAAGCTTACTGCGCGCGTTTTGAAGGAGGCAAAGAACCTGATTGTCATTGGCTGCTTCTGTATTGGTACCAACCAGGTTGACCTTCAATATGCCGCTGATAACGGTATCGCTGTTTTCAACTCCCCTTTCAGCAACTCCCGCAGTGTTGCCGAGCTCGTCATTGGTGAAATCATTATGCTTGCGCGTCAGCTAGGCGACCGCTCCAACGAGATGCACAACGGCACTTGGAACAAGGTGAGCAACGGGTGCTGGGAAATTCGAGGAAAGACTCTAGGTATGTAATGGGTGTTTTGGATTCATTGACTGCCCAGCTCATGTTCCTTTTCCAGGTATCATTGGTTACGGTCACATTGGTGCCCAGCTGTCAGTATTGGCCGAGGCAATGGGAATGTCCGTTATTTACTTCGATGTGCTCAACATCATGTCACTCGGCACTGCTCGCCAGGTGGAGACCTTGGAGGAGCTTCTGGGCCAGGCTGATTACGTTACTTGCCATGTGCCTGAGATCCCCGAGACCAAGGGTATGATTGGACAAACGCAATTTGAACAGATGAAGACCGGTAGCTATTTGATCAACGCTAGCCGTGGAACTGTTGTGGACATCCCTGCCCTCATTGATGCTATGCGGAGCGGCAAGGTTGCCGGTGCTGCCCTGGATGTGTACCCCAACGAGCCCGCCGGAAACGGTGACTACTTCAACAATGAACTGAACACATGGGGAGCCGATCTGCGTTCGCTGAAGAACCTGATCTTGACCCCCCACATTGGAGGCAGCACTGATGAGGCCCAGAAGGCTATCGGTGTTGAAGTTGCTCAGGCTCTTGTCAGATACGTTAACGAGGGTTCGACCTTGGGTGCTGTTAACCTGCCCGAGGTTACTCTCCGCTCTTTGACCATGGATGAGCCCAACCACGCTCGGGTAAGTGGCGCCGTACCCGAGACCCAGTTGCTTTTGATACTAACATGCCATTCAAGGTCATCTACATTCACAAGAACATTCCTGGAGTGCTGCGAAAGGGTACGTGTATCACTACATGGATGTGAAATGATACAGCTAACATGTGCAGTCAACGAGATTATTGGAGACCACAACGTTGACAAGCAGATGACCGATAGCAGAGGCGATGTAAGTTTATCTCTGCAGACTTTGAATTGCCAGAAGCTAATTGTGTTTAGGTTGCCTATCTGATGGCTGATATCAGCAACGTGGACACTGCTACCATCAAGGATTTGTACACCAGCTTCGAAAGCCTTCCCTGTAAGATTCCTGCTCGAATTGTGTATTGTTCAAAGCTAACACTCCATCAGCTCGCATCATGACCCGCATTCTGTATTAGACGATCGATCCCTTCACAAGCTAGCCTCCAGGCTGTGATGCTTTAATCAACTTAAGACGCATGAGCCCTGTCTCGGGGTTCACTTCCGGTTGCAATGGGTCACTCTCAACGAGCACCCTGGGAGAAAACAATTTCAATACATATGAGAATCTTGGTCTTGGGTACGGCACAAAGCCGTTGGAATGTATATTGCGACCATAGTTTCCACCTTTACTAGACAAAAGTCATGACATGAACGTTTTTCATTTCTATTCATCATAAGAATTTCATCGCCAAGTAAAATACATGCACTAGTTGGATGACTAGCCGCGACTCCCATCTCTGTAACCAGGACTACGGCTTCTCCTTCTTGGTTCCCGGCGGTAGTCATGTCGATTGTTTAATCGCCAGTCAGGATTGGTACTTGAGTCCCGGGCACGATCGGGAGCGTTGCCATAGTTTGGAACATAGGAGTCTGTGTTCCCCGGTCTGGCTCCCGGGCGGCCCTGGCCATATCGATCTCGCCGTTGGTCATCTCTTCCGTCAGATCTGTTGGTTTGCGCTCCATCCCACGGCGGGTGAGCGGGGACCGGGGGACGCGGGGGCAACCCGGTGTCTCTTTGCGAAGGTGGGAAAGGCCCACGGCGTTGGGCGTTTCCATGGCTCGGGACATTTGCTCTGCTTCCACGGGCGGCGCCGGGGATGCGGCTGTTTCTGGAATCCGGTCCGCGAGAGCCAGAGCTTCCCCAGCCACTGTTTGATTGAGTATCGCCCGAACCGATGGCAGGAACAGGAGGCACGGGAGCTCGCTGACTGCGGAACTTCTTCCGATCAAGTTCATGCGAATCTGAGAATTGAGGAATGTCCCCAGGTCGTGCTGGGAGCGGAGGAGTGGTGAAATAAGGATGCTTCAATGCATCAATAGCGTTGATTCGTTTCCTCCAGTCAAGTCTAAGAAGTTCCCCTAAGAGGGAAACGGCTGTTGGACTCAGGCTGTTGGGTAAAGGGTAAGTCTCATTC